GTTAGAGAACAATTGGAAAACCTGTAGGGAGTACTAGAGAGCTGTTTCGTCCTAGTTTGGGACTCTTCAACAGTGGGTACCTACTGGGGTTCGAACCCAGGACCATCTGGTTACAAGGCGAGGCTGTAGACCATTAGGTGACCAGCCCTACTCAGGTAAGTAGTTACCTGAGGTTCTAGTGGAAAGTCGTGACTGGCAGGGTACAGCAAGTTGGGCATGTGGACAAATGCTCGCCGATGATATCGGCTAGTGATCGCGCTATGTAGTGAATTAGCAGGAGTTGCAATTCATGGACCGTTGGATCGGGTCTCAGTGGCTTAATGGTCTACGAGCTCGCCTTGTAACCAGAAGGTTATCGGTTCGAACTCTGGTGGTAGTTGCGTGCTGCTGAAGAGTCCCAAACTAGGACGAAACAGCTGTCCAGTACTCCCTACAGATTTTCCAATGGTTCTCTAGCTGATGTCAGCTCATTGTGAAATCCTGTAACCAATTCATATTGTCTTGACAATAGGATTTTAGTAGCTTTGTCAAGGTTTCCAAAAGTACTTTAGTTAAAATCTCACAGTATGATCAATAAATAGTTTTCTCCTTATTATTATTTATTTTCGGAATTATCGTGTGATGCACAAAGTAGAAGTGATATTCTCTGCGTCTATTTCCCAAAATGTGGATCTGGCTTTGTTTCGTTATTCTTCAGGTCACAGATGCCACTCTAATTAGGTCATCCGATATACACAAGTGTACAACAATTTAACAAGTGAAGATGATTTGTTTAAATAGGAAAAATTCACCGATAACAAAACTATATTTTTCATTGTAAATTATTCCTTCCTAATATATATTTAGTTAGTTTTTAAAGTTTAACTTATAGATTACTGATTTCGCCTCAAAACACACACATTATAGCCAATAGAACAAATACTTTTTAGTGTATTATAACTGTCATTATTGACTATTAATCAGTCGGAAAATAATTTCTCTAACCTTTAAATTTCCAATGTCTTGCTATCATATTTTCTCCTTCATAACTGTTTGTCATAGCATACTTACAAGTGATACAAATACATAATTGAGATCATTCATTTATTACTAGAAAATCTAAAATTTAAATGTTGATTACATTTTACTGTTAAACCTATGATGAGTGATACAATTATGACTATTACTGGCTATTAGCGCGACAGTAGTATGCGTACACTGTACGGTATACATGTGTACTTATGTACAATGCTATGCATTGACACATGCACAAACACATATATTAATGTACAATCACAAAACAGAATGAAAATTAACACAGATTATCTGTATAGGATGTGTCTATTTCTATATGTGTATATGTTGTGTGAAAAGTTGATGCAGAATAGTATTAGCGCCTGTGTCTATACCAAACGGTAAGTGACTTTCCTTCTTATTAAAATATGTAGTCTGTTAACTCATAGGGAGTCATGAGTAATTTAATATAATTATATATTATTAATTTTATTTTTAATTTTAAGCTTTATTATAGCTTGATTCCACACAGTATTTTGATACGAGTATGGAATTTTCAGCATGTGATATCGGTAGCCCAAATTTAGCAGGCCGACCATTGATATCAGGTGTGCATCGGCAGGGAATCGAATCCCGGACCCTGTGCACTGTTGGCGAGCATCCTAACCACTATGCCACCAACGCACATAGAGTAGAAATTCATAACCAGATTTCTAAGAGATTATTTTTAGGCAAGCTATTTAACGAAGTGTCTCTCATCTTCATGAGCAAAGACCTTAAAAGTGTACCATTTTGCAGCTGAATTTTATACAGAAATTGATTTTCTAATTATAATCCACTCCATTTTCTAGTTATCAACTGGTCTAGTTAACGGGTTAATCTCTGACGAAATCTCAGCACGGATACAGAGGGCTAGGTTCGTATATGCCAGTTTACGCCGTCTGTGGCCTATACGTGATATCCGGCTATCGACCAAAGGGCGGGTGTACTGCTCATCAGTCCACTCCGTCCTCCTTTATGGCTGTGAGACCTGGTCATTGAGAGTGGAAGACATGGAAAGATTAGCTGTCTTTGATCATAGGTGTCTGCGTTCTATCTCCCGTGTGATGTGGTATAATAAGGTGAGCAATATTGAGGTTAGGCGTCGAGTGTTAGGTAAGGCGGGGAAATCAGTCGACGAGACTGTGAAATTACATCGAATGAGATGGTTAGGACATGTGTTACGTATGCCTAGTCATCGCCTTCCTCGACGGGCAATGTTAGCTGATATAGGGTCAGACTGGAAAAGAGCTAGCGGCGGTCAAACGAAAACATGGCACCAGTCAATTAAATCCACCACAGTTAGTCTAGGCCACGTAGGAAGGTGTAGACTGCTGTCTGGTTGGGGTCATCAGGACAGTAAAAACCAATGGTTGGAAACAATCGGCGACATGGCTCAAAATCGTTCTCAGTGGTGCAGATGCATCCACTTCTTGTGACTTATGATTTCCAATTAAACTGTTTTGTTCTTCGTTATTACTATTCCTCCTTTGTCTCACACCTCTGTTTACTGTCTATATTATGCATTTCTTCTGCTTTCTTCTCTTGTTTTGTGTGCTACATGGAGTGTGGCACATATGTGCAAATTTCTATGTCGAAAACAGACAGACAGACAGTTAACGACATATTAGAACATAACCCACCTGGTGCCTAGTAGCCAAAAACAACTGGTGAAGCTATGCTGTTTTAAACTATTTATATTTTGAAGATACACTGTGTTATTATTTACCTAATGAGAAGGCGCTATGCTTCTGTCCACTATCTCCATTTGTATAAAAATACGACTCCATATAATCTAGCTGTCACTGGATTATGATTGTTAATTGGTAGAAATTCATCTGAACTAGTGGCTTCATTATATTATTATTATTATTCATTAACGGTCATCCAAATTTCCCTATATTTGATTATACGTAGATTTTGTCTCTAAAAGAGTTCAAATTATTGATATACATATACCCGTAATCCGCTAACAGTTTTCATATCACAGTAATTTTATGTACTTCAAATACATTAAAATTTGTCCCAATGTGTTTCCAGTAGGTTTTAAATTCTGTTTTCGAACAATTACACAGAGATTGTTTCTTTTAACTTAGATAGTACTCTTTTGTTCATGATAAGATAAGGTATCATCGTACATGAATTATTAATATACTGTTGTACGAAAGGACATTTTCTTGACTGTTGAGAAAGCCAGTCACTTTATTAATGCTTCATGGAGGGTAGCTAACTTATCCAACTTCAGACTGCCTTATATAAGGAGATGATATACTCTGTGGCTCTAATATTAAGTATTTTAGGGTGAAGGGTATGGCGCTCACCGGAAGTTGTCAGGCACACATTATTAATTCACGATATAAGATTACAGCGTGAAGGTTTTGGTGGCTAAATTTTGATTTCACTAAGTAGATAAAAAAGGAAAAAACAACGAAGAATTAATGTAGTGTTGGCGGGAGAAGCGAAAGGGATAAAAATGAAGAAGTGTGATAATGCAGTCAAGTTGAAGATAAGTGAGCAATACAATGTTTAACGATAGATTTCCATTGTAATCTGAACCCCATAGTCAGTCAGTAGGTTCATGCATCTCTACTGTAAATTGGTCAAGACATGTTTCAAACTGTTTCTAATTTCCGTAAAGAACGACACTGACGTTTACAGAGGATAAATATGTGTAACACATGTACAATTCATAATAATGAAGACTTTCAACTCTCTCGATCCAAATAGGTCGCTTAATAATAACTCAATATCTAATTTCTATGCTGTTCAAATAATATTCTTACAGATGTGGACAGTGTTACATGGATTATAGTGGTCACAAAATTACACTAAACTCATACTTTTTACATGTTTAACAGTAATAGATCAGGAAAATGGACTCTTGAAACACAATGCAAACATTATGATTCATTATTCTGTACACATGTTAGTTTACCCAGGGTTTCGAAAGCAAACAATAAATTAGGAAGTATCGCGTATGTTCCTTGATTGTTATAAACTGTCAAAGAAAACCTGCATTGTTTGCCATTATTCTGATATGTAAGATGCAGTGAATCATATAGAAATTTTTTTCATCAAATGTTTCCCTATCAATATTCAAAAAACCGAAAGTTCTGTCGTTCGAGTGCTGTTTTCGTTGTTTTTGATCCTACTGCCATTATTACAGTGTTCAGTCTACGGTATAAGATCCCTTTAATAAAAGAATGTTTACCTGTCCTATCCTGTCACTGACATTAACAATAACTATTAAAATGAAATGTGAGTCAATGGCACAGCGATAGAACCTCACCATCCACGCAGATGGTCGGGGTTCAATCCCTGACCGACGCAGTGCTTTACCTGGCTAAGCCAGTAATAAGACTCGTAACGACGGAAGGTTGTGCATAAGGCTAGCAGCCCCATCCCATAAAAATAAACACCACTGCTACCGAAACTTCGGCACTCTAGCTTGAAGCCCTGTGTTCCACTGTGAATGTAAAGGAATAAAAAGAATAAAAATTTGATGTAGCGGTAGACAGTCATTGAGCTAATAGCTTCAAACTGTGGAAAATAATTTATCCTTGTTTGTTTGTGGTCCTCATAAAGTTTGTTATCGATTAATTAATGACATGGTTATTTCTAAATCTTTCAATTTCATTTATCTAGACCATTTCATTTGATGCCTGAATAAGGCATAATATATGTTGTTTTGATTATTATTATTATTTCAAGCAAATCTATGTTACGTAACACTGTAAATCATGCCATGTTATATATGATTGGTATGCAAAGATTTGAAATTTAGTTGGTTGGTTGGTTGGTTAAGAAATACTTTGAATATTAACAGTGGACATGTTTTGCTGACTATTTTACGTGTTTAGAGATACACACACACACGCACACACTTACACCGAACTTCTATAGTAAGAAATATACCCTGAAATAATAAATTACTAAATTTATATACTGTTTAACATTTCTGTTTTTAGAGAACTAATCGAATTTTACTAGCACCCATTCAGTATAAGACACGTGAGTTATCTTTCGCTAATTTTACATTAAAAATGATCTATTTTGTATTCATGAATTTAAGTTATAGTCATAATTTTCAATTTGTGCTTTAATTTTTATTTTAAAATGACACGAAACATTTTAAGAAATGTGTAATAATGTCATCTTAAAGATAGAAACTGACTGAAAGAAGTTATGCCCTGGATATTCTAATAAGTTTATCATTATTATTACTATTATTATCCGACCTTAGGTTTTCCATTATGAAGCTTTTCATAACAATCAATCTAGAGGCAATTCTCAGTTGATTTCCTGAAAAAGTGAAGCCAGTTTATTTGACAGGGATACTTACAGAGCTCATAAGCGAAGATAAGACTAACAGGGGCCACTACAATGAAAATGTTTGAAAAGAAACTTAATGTAACTAGGCAAATTATTCAGGAAAGGAAGGTATTAATGACCAACCATCTAATAATAATGCAAAGTTCACTGCGATAGCCAGTCACCTAGCTTGGTCACCTACCATATTGCAAGCATTACCGATATAATTAGCTGCTTGCCAATGAAAATTTGGCGGAGTAACGTCACTCACCACTGTGGGGTTCATACTCCCCTTTGAGTCGTAAAATGAAGACTTGTTTTATATCCCAATGGGGAATATAATTGTGATATGATTCAGTCAGCATCCTTAAGAACTACGCATATAGTATATGTTACTGGCTATTTTTTTCCTTCACGTTACCCAGTGGAACATAGGGCTTCAAGCTGGTGGCTTGAAGTTTCTGTAGCAGTGTTTATTTTACAGGATGGGGTTGCTAGCCTCATGCCCAACCTTTCCTCTTCACCAGCATTATTTCTGGCTCATCGAGGTAAAGGAGTGCGTCGGCCGGGGATCGAACCCCGGACCATGTGCATGGTCGACGAGCGTCCTAACCGCTATACCAACGACGCACACTGGTTACATGCTAGCAACCAATAAATGGGGTTTTTTACTTTTGAAAATTTTTATTCTTTTGCTTCCTAAGTGGAACATAGGACTTTGAATTTTCATTATCAGCGGTATTATTTTTATCGGGTGGGGTTGCTACCTTCACGTCCAACCCTTCCTCTTTAACTGGCTTACTCCAGACTTAGTGAGGATTAGGAGTGTGTCAGTCTAGAATCAAACCCAGGGTCGTGTGAAGCATTGTTGGTGAAAATTTCACCGCCAGAACACTAACACTAATGGGATTATTTATTTTAAATACACTTTGAGAATGTGAAAAATATAACTTTCACATATGCTTGCTTTTATTTAGTTGATAATTTTTGTGAAATTGTTAGACTTTGTCCAAAGCTTGTATAAGTTATGCAGTATCACAGGATTTCAAAAATACACAATTAATGAAATCTAAGGATAGATTATGACTCTTTACTTCACACAGTAACATTAACATTCAGCATACTTTATTGCTTTCCTTTTCTAGCGCAACGACTCCATCATAGACAATAGGTTATCATTTTATTTGTATGTAATATAGCGTGGTATTACGGTATAAAAGTATAAGCACCTTAAAAATAGAAGCGTTCAGTGGATTGTGACTTAATGTGGAGTCCACACTTTTCAATATTTTAGATTTGTCATCAAGGACTATTTGTGTCTTTGTGACCCTCATTCCTCTTACCCACGAAAATGCGTGCATTCCAGCTCACATTTATTTACAATACATGGAATATTTTAGTATACAGTACATATCCTACAATTCTAAGGTATTATAACAAACTTAACTCTCAGTTATAGCTAACTAATCAGTCTCTTACTAATTCAGCTATTTTTAGGTGCTGTTTTTGTGGGGATTCATTTGTTTTTAAAGTAGATTTGATAGCGAAGCGAAATCGGTCAGAAGATTATTAAAAATCAGGGAACACCCAACAGGTATTTCATTTCTGAATGTGGTTAAAACCGTGTGAGAAACTGAAAGTTTGGAAATTAATCCACGTCGTTAATAGCTGGCTACAGTTAGAACTTTCAGGAGTTGTAAAGACAAATTATGGCCAGTGAGGCACAAAGAGTTGGGTGTGATGACAAATATACTCAAAGAAAACAATAGATGACAGTGACGCCATATACGAACTGACAAAAGTTAAAATTCTTATGCTAATGAATTCCAAATGAGTAGCCAGATTGTAATGTACTAGCCTGGAAACCCGAAGGTTGTGGGTTCAATCACTGGTGGCGTTATAATTGCGTACTATTGGAGAGTTCCAAATTTGGAACAAACAGCTTTCTAGTACTTCTCTGACTGATATCACTTTGTCACGGGATCTATCTTGAAAGTTATTTTTCCTACGTATTTCAACGCTTTTTCTGTAAATAAGTTTAGTTAACTGAATAGGTAGAGTGATTTCCATTTTGAATTCTGTTTCTACATAAAGCACACATATATACTGAAAAATAGGATTATAAAACACTTCCCTGACTTACGTAAGCTGTAAGTTGTGCCTCCAAAGCCTCAGGATGGTCGGGAGTGGGTGCCTTGCGCTGCGGGTTGGCCACCCCTCCGCACACCTCTTGAAATGCTCCCATATGACCGGGCGTATCACATAGCCTCTCCTGAGGAAGTCCTACTCAATGCCTTCACGTGGCGGATGTGTTTTTCACCAAAGTGAGAGGGCGAAAGCGGATGCCCGGCGCTCTTCACCGGGTTGACTGTCCATTGGATGACAGTCTAGGGGAGATGGCTAAACCCTGACTCCAAACCTCCAACGACTGGCGTATGAAGTTCACTGGAGCTCACCGGCAGACGTATGGACAAAGGGCTTGTTGGATGTCCTGGATGGCTGGCCCCATTCAAAAAGGCGTATGAACCGAACTCCGGTCACCAGCTGCCAATGGATAGTGGACTCCTTACTCCACTCCTACTGCCTTGTAGGCTACGCTTGGTTGTGTAAAGGCTAGAGCTGCACTCTCAAACAAAAGGCCGAGCTATTCTGGGGACATCACTCGTACCAAATTCCCATGAAACTTCATGAACTCTTTAGATGTTCATGAAGCCGGCTCATCCTCCCGTAGGAGATAGCCGAAGTGAAGAAGAAGAAGGAGTTGTTATCACCTTTCTTCACTAAGCTGATTATCAGTGAGCTAATATATATTTTGTGTGCTTCTTGCTGATTTTATTTGCATTCGATAGTATTTTGTCTGAGTAAGAATGAGTCGAAATGTCTACATTTTGTAGATCCTTGTGTTGTATTGATTCTCTTATTGTCTCATATATGTCAAAATATGAGTTTTATCATCCAAAGTGGTATATCAGACACTTACACATTCAAGGAATCATCACATAATTGCCCATGGAAACACTGATGAACGAGAACTAAATAAGCACAATGCACAGTAGATAGATATATTTCTTCTGAAAGTATCTTAACATTTGATTAAATTCATCTCGTTCACTCACGATTGTGTAACTATCTGAGGGTGGTTGAATGACACTGTTTCACATCTATGATTACAATTCGCACAGACTTTTGTCGGCAATAGTTCCACTATAAGACGACAAAAGAAATAGACTACGGTAATTCCATGAACACCATCACATTGATAAAATTTAAGGATATAACTTGGCATGTATATAAAAATAAAACTTTGGCACTGTGGGAGAGTATAATTCCACCACCGAGTAAATTTATTTGATTTAAGCAAACAGTCATACAGTATCACTCACTACTGACATTCCTAGCAAGATTGATTGCTCATATCAAATCAAGGCACTCACATAATTTTCCTGCCTCGTTTATATAATTCCATTATTTTTTAGCCTTTGACTTTAATGATAATAACAATATTTTCCATATCTCTGGCATTAGTGTTGCATTATTCCAATTGCACGTGCTAGGTGTGTGCGTCCGTGGCATAGTGGTTAGGACGCTCGCCGACCATGCACATGGTCCGGGGTTCGATCCCCGGCCGACGCACTCCTTTACCTCGCTAAGCCAGGAATAATGCTGGTGAAGAGGAAAGGTTGGGCATGAGGCTAGCAACCCCATCCTGTAAAATAAACACTGCTACAGAAACTTCAAGCCACCAGCTTGAAGCCCTATGTTCCACTGGGTAACGTGAAGGAAAAAAAACGTGCTAGGTATAGATTTGAGTAAATAAGATTCAGTGATCAACTTCTGCCCCCATCTTCCTATACCACCTTTTAGAATTGTAGCTCTGTCCCGGCCTACTGTGTGGTTGTGTCAATGTATGCATTGTGATAGCTGCATTTTTCTCCAAACTATTCATCTTTGTGGGGCCGAGCATCCTGCTCTTGGTTGAATTCTTAAGTCCCAATAATCTGACTAACCCCAATCTACTGGTTTGACCTGCATAGTTGACTTCGCAGTCATTGCAAGTTATTTCGTAGATTACGTTATTATGTCTGATTGGGTCAGTACTCTTCCTGAGTCTACATAGCTTGTTCCTGATTGAGATTGTAGGTTTAAATGCCACCCTGATATTAGACTCTGTTAAGAATGCTAAATAAAGTTTTAGATGTCCTTATACTGACCAACTTAACAACTCATAAAATATCAAATACATACTTTTCTGACATAAAAATGGTATAAGTTCCAGTAGGAAGAACTTCACAACTGTCAGCTTAATTACTTTTTAAGCTTGAAGTATTATCCAGTTTAATAATGAAGTTTCGTAGTTGTACTACTTATATCACTGGACTCGCAGCCACAAGATTTATACGTCATTGTGACAACCTAATAGCAGTTCATAATGCGAACAATTTCTCTTGTGCGTCGGCGGCATAGCGGTTAGGACGCTCGCCGACCATGCACATGGTCCGAGGTTCAGTCCCCGGCCGGCGCACTCCTTTACCTCGCTAGGCCAGAACTAAAAAAGCTGGTGAAGGGGAAAGGTTGGACATGAGGCTAGCAACCCATCTCTTACTTGAAAATAATTTTTTCATCACATCGTTATTTATTCAGGCTATTTTTGACAGTTTGAATAAAATAAAGAAACAATAAGAAAACTAACAACCTCTTTA